ATGACAAAGCTGAACATCATGACCCCAGAGGATGCCAAAGACTGAGTTTGAGCAGACTGGGAGCTTTTGAATGTGTTCAGCAGTCTATTGTCACGTCCATGTGATTATTAAAACTGGTATATTTTAAACTATGTGGTCATTCCTTGATTTGTCTAGTCACTGAACATGCACACTATTTTCTAAAGAGAATTTTCCATTAATGTGATGGGTCATGTACAATATCTGTTTTGAAAAAGTAGGAAAGAATATAGGAATTTTAATTGTCAGTTGCAAAAATTTCCTTCTGCAATACACATTAGAAGGCCCTAACCCTAGACAAAAATACATGTGAACAGTCTAATAATGGAACAGATTCCAGTGTTATTATTTAAATCCTTTCGTGATATCATCCTGAAAAAAATATTTATTGTTATGTAAATTTAGGCAATTTTTCAATTGGAAACTTTATGTATGTATGTAGGCTTGCACAGGGATCAGCCGAAAATAAAGCTCTTTATGGCCAGCTTAAGGGCCTATTCTAACTGAACCCTAAATAGCAATATAAACTTAACAGGCTATCTAATCCTTTCCCAGCAATAACAAAATCTTTGCTTGATATACATTTTAATAAAAGGTTTCGGTAATGTATCTTATAGGTAGTGGCTTTGTGCATTTGATGTGGCTGATCCATATGAAAAGCACTCCTACTCCACCTTGTAAAACTGCTTCAAGCATTCAAGTGATATTCAAAAAGTACAAAGGTATGCATTGTGAATAGCTATAGGTCTTAGGGTAAAATCATGCACCCTGACAGTGCAGGAACTAAAATAATTTTGCATATATGCTTGAAGCATCAGTACAACTTTGAATTGAATAATGAGGCTGGATTCATTAAGACAGCATCATGCAAGAGGAAATCATCACTGGAATGCAATGGTGTGGGTTGTGCGTGATACATCTGTTGCTTTTGATAAGGCATATTGCAGTTTTCTTGAAAAAGGAGAAGATTGTAACACAATCTGCACTCGTTTTCACGGAGTTGTATTGATAATTAACTGTGTTCCAGAACTGGTCATGGTAAAAAGCTCCCATTTGTGATCTACACAATACTCTCATACAAAAAAGGAAACAAAGTTGGACCCACCTTAGAGTGCGGGTTAACCCTTCGGACCACCTACACTCTAAGGTGGGTCCAACTTCGTTTCCTTTTTTGTATCATTGTTTGGTTACGGATATGGTAGACGAACCACTTTAAAGGGTAACTACTAGAGCTATGTATCTCCAGGAGTGAGACAACCCCTTTCTCACTACACAATGCTCTCAGACTATCTAACCCTTATTAGTGTTTGAGCCACATGTAACAAGTAACCACACTAAGTATAAAAACAATAAAGCTCATATTATGCAAAAGATGTTTAGACAAGGAGGTGTGGAAAAATTTGAGCACCTGTAAAGGGGACCTCAATCGCAACATCAAAGGACTTACAAGACACTGGTTGAAGACCACTGTTCTGCAGTCTCAGCATGAGCTACAGATGTAGCAGATAGCTTTGCTACTGTAAGTAACCCTGTGTTAATATTATTACAACAATGTTAAATATTTTAATAGATCTGTATTCATTGGTTGATTGGCTACATAGAGCAGTTAATTGGTGTATTTAAATTAACATGTGCCCTGTAAGACAGGCAGTGCCACTTGCGAGTGTGCCATAACCAACATCAGATGTGATGTGATGTGTGAGACTGATCTCATTTAACTTACTAAACAGGGTTCAGTTCATATCAAAGGAATACATAGTTTTGCTTCAGAAAATCAAGCAGGTCGTTTTTACTTTAATTAGAGGATTTTGCCATTGAAAAATGAGAAACCCCTTCAACCTATGGCCTGGCCACATCCCCCGGCCTGCAGTTAAGACCTCCTTGGTTATAATAGATTTGGCAATGTTTGGGTTTCTTCTGATGTGTAGAAAGACAGTAAGATATCCACCTAAATTAAACTCTGCATATTTTAGTACATTTCATCCAAATGCTTCAGTTTTATGCTGGCTGATGTATTAATTAGATTGTGTTTTAATTGACCCACCTAATGAAAATATATCTGTATATGTATTCCTGTGGCTCTGATAGGGGAAGGTATGGCAACAAACCTGACCATATCTTCTTGGTCAATTTGGGTGCGATAGGGAAGGTTTGCCTACCAGTACATAACATACCTACTCTATGTGAATAGCCACACACCTTATTTAAAGCATGACCTATTACAAAGAACATCTACTATATTTTGCCATGGCATGCTGTGTCACTTTTTTTCTCCCACGTTTTCAAGTCAATTAAGTTCTTCTTATACAATATTAATAATAATATGTCAAAATACAGTATGTAATATTGTAGAGTCATCTCAGCTAGTATAAGCACTCATATGTGTACACCATTCCTTGTAAAGAGCTGCTGAATAATTTGAATCTATTTACATAGGTTGTTGAACATTCATCAGCAGTTAAGTATATGAGTCAAGGAGCTGTGCTTTCATATGCATTAGGATTTCTACATCAACTTCTCCTATCCCCATAAACTACAGATGCTCCTGGAGTTACGATCGTTCGGCTTACGATCATATATATGATAGCAGCATATATATACTGTATACAGATGACCCTTGGGTTGTGTATATACTGTAATGTATATATCATAGCTTAGCCTACTGTAAACTTGACTAAAACACTTACATTAACCTACAGATGGACCTACTGTATTTGATAATAAAGTGTTGACTATCTCATGTATATAGAACTCCTCGGTTTGCAATACGATTGCTTTACGATGGGTTTATCGGAACATAACTCCATTGTATACCAAGGAGCATCTGTACTGTAGGTGTGTATTATCCTGTATAATACATAGTTTGTTGTGCAGTTCAACTGCTGTGTGTCCTTAAAGTGTATGTAAATGCAAAGCCTGCAGGACAAACAAAAACATACCTGGCACCATCACTAAGGATTTTGCCCCATTTTCAATAACTAAAATCCTCTTCAATTATCTTTTATTAGGGCTTTTATCCATGATCACACTATGGCTATGGGTATGGAACAGGAAGTGTTACTGTCCATCAAACACTGTTACCCGCCCTTTTAGGCTTCAAGCTGCCTATGGCACCAGTAGCACTGCCTGATGGGGTGGATAAGAGTATTTGATCGACAGTATCTCTTCCTGTCATCACAGTTCATGGCAGGGTAAACTTCTCCAGCCCACCGCCCAGGCTAGGGATGTACGCATACCGTTTTTTTGGTATCGAGTACAAGTACCGATATTTATCTTTCGGTACTCGCCGATATTGAGTACCAATACCGGTGCTTCTGCTAGCATTGAGCCGTCTTCCCCGGCAATCAGGAAGCTGGGCGGCGGGTAATGACTGATTGCCAGGGAAGCCAGCTCCATCCTTCACAGCCAATCAGCATCGAGCCAGCTGTTTGGCCGGGAAGCCAATCAGGAAGTCAGGCAGTGAGTCATTACCTGCCGCACTACTTCCTGGTTGGCTGGGAAGCCGACTCCATGTTCCCTCGCGGCACTACTGGTCAGAGGAAATCTCCCTCTGACTGGAAGTTCTGGTATCGGGGGTATCCTAATAGGTTGGACTTGATGGACTAATGTCTTTATTCAACCTCAAATACAATGTAACTATGTAACTATGTAAGTATCGGAGCAAATACTCAGGGTTAGTATTGGTGTATCCCTAGCCCAGGCCATTAATATTAGAAAGCATTGTAGGCCGCAGACACCTGGAACATGCACATAAGCATTGGCAATGCTGCAGAGGATAGCTAAGCCTGCAGATCGTTACCACTGCCAACAAGCAGGTGGAAGTCACTGGCAGAATCAACTGGTAGTTTTAGATACATACTTATTGTAATGACTATAAGTTGTTTTTTTTTGGGGGGGGGTTACTGACAGTTTAAGGCCTGTCTGCTAAATTTTCTGCTCTCAACTGACAGATACCGATCCCGTTTATTAACCTTATTCGATAAATGTTTTCCACATTTTAAAACAGAATTCTAGGTAGATATGAAAAGCACACAATAATGCAGCTCTGGAATCATGAATACATCATTAAGTGCATTTTTTAATGCAAGTAGCATAAGTACCTGAATGTGACCTGGGATCAACCTCTTGCAGTCCCTGTACAGCAGTGCTGGAGTATGAGAGGAAGAAGCATTACAAAGAGCCAATTATTTCATGTGCTGGCAAGGAGCATGGTGATAGGAGGAGAAAGCTGAATAACAGAGAGATGAGCTAAATGCTGTTCTGCTTCTCCTTTCACTGTCCAGTCACATGTAAGGGGTGGGCGCATGACAGCCTGGACTCAGAGGAAATATCTCAAATGATGCTGAAAGTCAGACTAAATACATCTAGTGATGGAAAAGAAGTACTGTGGGGGACAGCTATGAGTTGAAGGTGAATATTATAACTTGCAGCTCCTAGCTTGGGTTTGTGAAATTGTATTCATTAACACTATATATACACTGATATAAATTGACATTTTGGGTTAGGTACTTTATAACATAAATTTGGAAGTTTATAACAATATTGTGCTGAGTGATTAGGTTGTGTTAAATTGCTCCTGAATTAATAATTTAGTTATTACAGGTATTTATATAGCACCAATAATTTACACACGTACTGTACATTCACATCAGTCCTTCCTTAAGGAGCTTACAATCTAAAATCCCTATCTAACATACATACCAGGACCAATTTAGACAAGAGCCAGTTAACTTACCATCATGTCTTTGGAGTGTTTGAGGAAATCCACACAAGCACAGGGAGAAAACGCCATGCAGGTAGTTTCCTGAATGGGATGCAAACCAAGAAGCCAAGTCCTACAAGAAGCAGAAGTTCTAGCCACTAAGCTATTGTGCTGCCCAAACCTTTATGTAAAAAGTAGACTTCCATTGTATGATGAACAGCATTCTAGATACTGATACAGAAGGTCTAATGAATCTTACATTTTCTTTGTTTTCTCCCAGGTTTGGGTCATTCAGTGGAGTTGGCATTTACAGTGGAGCCCAGTGATGAAGTTGCCACCCCGGGACAGTCTGTAACTCTGCTGTGTTCTGCAGATGGTGTCCAGCCAATCACTATAACTTGGAGGAAGAATGGTGTACCCCTCTGGACTGGGTCAAATGCATTCCCACTTCCCAACGGCTCCCTTTACCTTCCTTTTTTTACTAACAATAAGGATGACGGCTCATCTAACCAGGGAGAATATGACTGTGCGGCACAAAACCGTTTTGGGTCTGTGGTGAGCCGAAAGGCAAGAGTGCAGGCAGCTGGTGAGTTGTGATCATTGAACAACTGATGTCACTAAAGATTAGTCTTCCCTTTATATACTAATTACCATTCAGGTAACATGTATGGTAAATAACCCCAACTTAATGCATGTTTATTTCAGCACTTCATCATAGGCATCATTATGCACCCATACTGTATTAGGTAAAATGGCATAAAACCAATGAAGATAGGAAGACTTACTGTGCTATAAAAGAATGAAATCTGCACGCTTAAAGCTAAACTCCAGGCATAGATGTTTTGTACACACGGATGTGGATGGCAGGTTTACACACACCTATGAAAAGCGTTCTGCAGTGGATCGCTTTTCAGAGGCATTTTAGAGCTCCTTCACAGGCATTCACAGGGGATACTGTCGCCTCCTGAATGCCTATTGTTTTTTATCCCAAGGGGGATTTTACATTGAAATAACAATGTACCAAGCCTTTGGTGTGCAGTTGAAATGTGGTCCCATTAACTTCAAAGGACACGTTTGGCAAGTGGCCCTGCCTGCCAAATGTGACATGCTGTAATAAATTTGCCCCCATGTATACCACCTCGAACGGCTGTCATGTAACATTGCAGGTTGGTGGTGGTGGTGGAGGGGTGGTAAAAATATGGATAAATCGCCTATATGAGCACTTGTGGGCCAGTATCTGATGGGGCAACCTCAAGCCGTTGAATAAACTTTTTCCATAACATTTTCCTTATTCTGGATCCCTCTCCTGACCACCTCTAGACATACTGTATGTGGCTAAATTCAGGAAGAATACTTTAGTAGGAGGGAGGGGCAAGGGATGTTGAGAGAAGTCAGAGGACTCAATAAAGTTCAAGAAACATAAAACTCTCTCTTCTTTCTCATATTTGGTGGTCTCTAAAGATAAAAGGTTTCTCTGTATATAAAAATTTGCTACATGGCACAGGGGGCAAAACTTTTACAAAAGGGTGCCATAATTCAGGTGTGCCTAGGGCAATAGGATGTACAAATAAGTCCTTATGAAGGCAGTATTGTGCCGCTGAAATGTTGCCTTGTTGTATATGTCTGTGCGCCACTTTGAACTTGAAGATTTCATCCTTTGAGGTAACCCTGGCTGTCTTCATTTGTTTGGTCTCACATACCATTATCCACAAACATACAGGCACAGCAGGGCAAGTCACTCTTACCACTGCACTTGCATGCCCCATCATGTCTACACCCAGCCCACTCACCACTCCACCAACATGTGCCTCAGCATTACCTCTCACTGTACCAGTGCACCACTACTATGATGCACCCTCCAATACTGAGCCTGTTCAATGCACGGGCACACTTTTGTCAGTATTATATAAGCCAGGTTTATAAATTATAGTGCAAGGTGTAATAATAACCTATAGCAACTAATCAGGATTCATCTTCTACCAAGCCAACATCACTAAAAACAAATCTGATTGGTTGCCGTGGGCTATGGTACTTCACCTTTGCTTATTGCACTGCTTTATTGTATAAACTGTTTGCTCCCCCCTCAGCCAGCTCCTCAGTGTTATGTAGTTAATTGTGCCCTAGCTATACATGGTATACGTTTGATCCTGACAATGCTTTCTTCTGTAGGTGACAGGTAATATTTAAATTGAACAAGTCAGTACCTGCCAATGGAAATGGGTAAAAACAGCTTTTAACATTTTCTGCTGTCCTCATAAGTAATATGCGTCTTTGGTATCTATTTTTTATAGTATTTGGAAGTTCTGGCACAGAAGAAGGCTGCTCTGTCACCTTGGGGAGGTCAGGATGACACAATAAATGTGCTATAGTGGCAGAAAACAAATGTCATGGGCAGAGATTAGTTATTTATATATGGAGGAAGGGAAATTAAAAACCTCCGGCTAATGATGATAATTTGGAGAAAGGGAATCAAAATCTGTGTTTTGTAGAATAAGATTTCAAAGAAATTGATGTGCTCAGGGCTTTCAATCACTCTTCACGAAGACCGCCATGGTGTTATTTACAATGGGCTTCTCTTTATGAAGATACTTCAAGGTTCTTTATAAAATATGATGCATATAAAACAAAAACGAGAGTGACAGTTTTTTGAAGGAATTGAAGGGGGTCATAGCATATATGGTGGCTAAGTGAATAGTGGTTTTGCTTTGCAGTATTTGTATCTGGGTTTAACTCCCACAGGGGCATGATACCTGCAAGATGTTTGTATGTTATATCTGTATTTTTGTGGATTTTCTTCAGCTGCACCTATTTGGAAACAAACTCAACGCTAACTGACATCTGGCCAAATTTCTAGAGTGTTTATCTGTATAATTGTAAGCGTGGTAAGGACATTCGATTGTGAGCTCTTTAGATGTAGGGACTAAAGTAAAGGGTTCTCAATACTATGAAAACTGCTACAAATTATATATGTGCTGTATAACTATAGTACACTAATAATTTCATATTCTGGAAATTAACTGTTTTTTAGCAGTTTGCTAATGTATTCACTGATTAGTTGTTATTAATATTGGATAGTATGGCTATTGTAATCATTATTCAATTACACCCTCTTAAAACACACACCTACAATATGTTTGCATATTCCAGGGGTGGACAAATTAATATGGAATTCAGAAGGCAGCTCCCCAATTCAGGCGCCAGCAGGAGTTTTTTTAGGAGCCTGCTCCTTTTTTAACTAGAGAATACCTCAAACGTTGGGTGCCAGCTATAAATTTTAAGGAGCATTGGGGAGCTGGCTCTTGGGATTTGTCCAGCCCTGTCCTATGCTATACAGCCCTTTGCTTGGATCTGTTTCGGGAACTCTGGGCATTGGAAAACAAATTAGTGGTAGTTTACCCAACAAATGGGAACTTACTGTATATCAGATTCAGAACACATACAATTTGGTGGCTTTGTAGGTCCAGTTTAATGGTTTGGCTAATGTTACCTATCTGTAACATAAAACATACTTAAATGTAGATGTGTTTGTGTGTTTAGAAACCTCCCCTCCACTGCCAAATTAAAAGATAGCATTACCGCATAAAAATACATATTTTTATAGCTTCTCCCTAGTGACCTGTGTAATTAATTAACTTATGTTCTGATAATCTCCTGATTGTTTATCCATGAATTATATACATAAAACAATTTATAAAAAACATGTCATTTTTTTTACATTTACCCTTTAAGGCTTTCATAGGGCCGGCATGGATATATATCTGTGATAAATGACCAACCCCATTTTTTTCAGTTGTGACGGCTGGAAATATAAGAACATGCACCCTTAGTTCTTGCCCATGATAATCTTAAACAACCGTCATGTTATCTGAGATATTTTCTGTGTTAATTCTGTATGTGTTACATACTTTATATACAGATAAGAAAAGCTGCATTTTATCACAACTATAGAGAGGCAAGTGACTTCTTAATGTCTTCTATTCTTTCTATTGTCCTATTTCTCTAAAAATCCCCAAATTGGCTGACTAGCGCTTTAGGAAAAGTGTACAGATACAAACATATTCCATGTAATGAAAACCTTAGGGAATGCTGATGAAAGCTCAATTTGTAAACATTTGTGTTTTGTGATAAGCAGTTGAATAGTTTCACATGTAGTCAGCTGCTCTGCTGAACACGTCGGGTAAATTGGCTAAGGATGAACTCTGGGTGCAGGTCCCCTTCCCTGTTGCTTATTTGCATCCACGGGTTGGTGCATATTGCGCAGATTTAACCTTTCAGGGTCTCGATCATGAGCCGCTGACATCAATAATGGCACCATTTATAAGCAGGATGAAATCTAAAAGGATTAGTGTGAGACAAAGAGGATGCATGATTTTATGGGTCACCATGCAAGGCATTATTAGTCAACGACAACAAAGGAATGTAATTACAGGCAAAGGGACCCAAGCATCATGCTGGCACCCAGCTAAAAACATCCCACCATTATCTGAGGCTGCTCATTAGGAAGGATTTTAATGTGGACCTTAGTTATTTCTGCTCGTGAAGAAAAGTTCACAGAGGTGGAAATTCAGTCCTGTCCTTTATACGGGTGCCACTGTCTGTTGCGCCAGTGGTATGTGGAAGCAGAGGATCCTCTGTTCACAGAAAGAGATCAACACCAAAGTTTCTGTTCATTTTTAGTGTGCCAGCTTGGCATAAATGAGATAAAGTGCTGACTACACAAATTCCAGAATGCTGGAATACACAGTCGATCTATAATTATCATTCCACAAGTTTGTGGCAATTTGGACAAAGAAACTCAACTCCCATGTCTTTAAAGGAAATTATATTTAAATAGAAAGTGTATGTGGGTTGGAGAAAGCAAGCTATATTCTGGGCAATGTAGTTATTTTCCATCTCTAGGGCTACTACAAGAGTAAGAACATACATGACTGATCTCATATCAATGCGTTTACAGGATTAGTCCAGCTGAACAACTGATGATAAAGTGTTTGGTGGATACATGTGTGTTGTAGCACAAAAATGCTGCTGTGACCAAGCACATGTGAATTCATCAACATACTTCTAGAGCAGTGACTTTGACTTGAGATACTTCTAGAGCTGATATTACTCTTCCTTCCCCCATAGTTACCCCACAGAATGTTTCATTATTGCATTGAATAATACATAGATGCGTTTTATCTATAGGCTATCCTTGTTATGGAAAATGTAGGAATGGGGCATGACTACAGATTTTGTCCACAGCCACTGAAACCTTCCGTACCAACCTATACTGAAGCTAGCTTTATAGGAATGCATTGTTAGATTCCTATTGGCTATTTCAATTTGCAATAGCCAATAGCAAACTAGCTATTGCACCCGCCCACTGCTGCTGTCAATCAGCAGAGGGAACCTGCAGTTCTCAATCAGGTCCCCACTAGTGATTGACAGCAGCAGAGGGCGGGTGCAATAGCTGGTTTGCTATTGGCTATTGCTAATTGGAATAGCCAATAGGAATCTAGCAATGCATTCCTATGGCGAAAATGCCGGCATTCGGCTATTCGGCTATTCACTTACTGCTGTTCGACATCTATAAGAATAGACCGAACA